GGGGACCTGACCCAGGTCTATAAATATCTAAGGTGTGGGGGGCAAAGTGGCGAGGCCAGACTCTTTTCAGCGGCGTATGGAGACAGGACAAGGGGAAACAGCCAGAAACTGGAGCACAGGAAGTTCCGCACCAATGTGTGCAAGAACTTCTTTACAGTGAGGTGACGGAGCACTGGAACAGGCTGCCCAGGGAGGTTGTGGAGTCTCCTTCTCTGGAGATATTCAAGACCCGCCTGGACACCAGTGTGACCTGGTGTAGGGATCCTGCTTTGGCAGGGGGTTGGACTGGATGATCTCTGGAGGTCCCTTCCAACCCCTACGATTCTGTGATTCTGTGAAAAGAAAGCTTTGCAAAGGGATCAGCACCATGACAGCAGATTGTTCAAAAAAATATATATACACACACCATATATATATATGCATGTGTTTTCTTAATGCATATCCTCATATGCTCCATAAGGCATGTGCGTTTGCATGGAGAAGGCAGCAGTAGAAATGGATTTACCTTCTGCATGGAGGGCTGCCGGCCCGAGGAGGGGAGTGCAGCTCCCCAGGGCTGTGCGAGTACGTGTTGGCTTTGAAATCCACAGTTCCTGCAGTGAGTTGTTCCCTGGAAGGAGCCCTGGCTCTGTTCAGTCCCTGGATGAAGATGCAGGTGGTCTTTAGGTCAGAGAATTTCTGTTCCTCAACTGATGACTACAGGGTTTTATTCTTCGACAAGCAACCAATCCACAAAAAAATATAAAATAAAAAATAATAAAAAATAATAAACAAAATAAACCTTCCCGCCTCCAGCTTCCTCCTGAATTGTCCTTCTGGGGTCATCAGCCCTCAGCCCACGCATCACCCCCGGCCCTGTGCCGGTACCTGCTGCTGCAGGGGCTGCACAGCTGCTGCACAGCAAGGCAAGCACCGAAAACAACACAATTAAAAAAAAAAAAATTAAAAATTTAAAAGGAGGGGATGAAGGAGAGGGTGTAGCAGCTTTTAATTTATCTTTCCATTTAAAAAAAAAAAAAATATTTAAAAAAAGGAAAAAAAAAAAGTTGTCACATTGGAGTCTGTGTGATATAAGTTAAGCGAGGAAGCAGCGCGCTTTGGCAGGGCTAATGCTTCCCGCCCGCCCGCTCCTCCAGGTGGCCGAGCTGCTCCGCCAGCTCCAAGACCTTGGCTTGGCAGTCGAGCAGGTTGTCCTTCAGCCCCGTTATTTCCTGAGAGTGGGCAGCCAGCGTCCCATTGAGGCGGTCCATGCGGTCCCACAGGCCGCCCGCGTGTTTCTCCAGCTCTCCCCTCACCCCGTCCAGGCTCCCCAGCACAGCCCCCAGCCGGCCGCAGGCTCCCTCCACCCTTGCCACGCGCTCGTCGAAGTGCGCGACGTCGCGCTGCAGGCTGCGGGCAGCGCTGCGGCAGGAGCTGAGCTCACCGGCAATGCGCGCCTTCAGGCGCTCCAGGTCGCCCTTCAGGTTGAGCACACGGCGGTTGCTGAAGAAGAGCTGGGAGCCGTGGTCGCTGACTTTCTCCTGGATGGAGTGCACCTCGTCCTCGATCTTCCGCTCGTGCTCGTCCAGCGAGGAGTTGACGTGCGTCACGGTGTCCGAGTACTGCGAGACGGAGTCCTTGAGCCCCGTCAGGGATTTGCTGACGGTGTTCAGGTTGATCTTCAGCAAGGTGATCTCCCCCTGCAGAGCCCCCGCCGCCTCCTCCTCGATGCGCCGCTGGATCTCCAGGATGGTGGCGTTCAGCTTGCGCAGCAGCTCCGAGGTGCTGTCCATGCGGAGCAGCAGGTCCTGGTTCTTGTTCTGGCAGTCCTCGATCTCCGTCCGGAAGGTCTCCACGTCTTTGGAGGCAGAGCTGCAGCCCGACAAACAGGTGCTCTCCAGCGTGACCAGACGGTTCTGCAGCACCTCCAGCTTCTCGTCCGTGCGTTTCCTCATGCTGGCGAGCTCCCCCTCCAGCATGGGCACCACCGCCCCATCCATACCCGTGGGAGCACTGACGTTGTTCAGCTCCCCAACGATGCTCATGAACCTGTCCTCCAGGGTCTGCATTTTGTCTTCGAAGGCCGTCCTCATGCCGTCCACTTCTGCCACCACCGTGCCTCTCATGCTGTCCTCCATGCTGGAGCAGCAGCTCCCCGTTTCTCTCTCAGTAGCGTTCAGCCTGGCCTCCAGGTCCTCAAAGCGCCCTTCAAAGAGGTTCCCAAGGGTGATGGCAGAGATCTCTCCATCCATCCGTGAGTGCAAGTTCTTCTGCGACTCAGAGATGCTGTGCAGGCCCTTCTCCAGGATGTTCATGCGGTCAGTGAGGTAGTCCAGGCTGCTGCAGCAGCTCTCCACCACCGTCAGCCCTTGGATCTGTGTCTCCAGCTGGGAGATCTCCTTCTTGATCTCCAGCTCCTTTCCATCCAGAGTCTGCTGCAGCCGCAGGTTGGCAGCTTTCTCCTGCTCACACTGCTGCTGCACCTCCTGGATGCGGAAGTCACAGGCTGTCTGGATCTTGCCCAGCTGCTTCTCAAAGCCATCGAGCAGCTCCCCACGCAGGCTGCCCAGCCGTGCAGCCACGTACTCCTCCAGCAGCTCCATGGAGGTGAGGGGTGATGGCCGGGCCGCCTCCAGCAGGTGCTTGAGCTGCCCGTCGTGCTCCAGCACTATGCCACGAACCTCATGCAGCAGATCCACCTTGGATTTCAGCACATCGCTCACCTCCGCCACTTTGGTCAGGATCTCCCCAACAGGTGGATACGAAGCAACATCAGCCTTGTCTGCCACATCCACCAGGCCGTCGGGAATGATGCCGAAGCCCACAGAGGAGTCAGGCGTGCCAGGGCTGTTCATCAGCGAGCCGATCATCTTGGTGGTGTCCTCCTGGATGGCCAGGCGCAGGCGGTCCCCCAGCCCACTCACCAGCACGTGCAGGCTGTCATAGGCCTGGGCCAGGCGCCGCACCTCCTCTTCCAGCCGCTCCAGGCGGTCCCCAACCAGGCCAGGCAGCTTTCTGCCTACAGGAGACAGAGGAGATGGTCAGGGCTGTGTCCTTTACCTCCCTCGTGAACTTCTAATTGGTTCAAGTTGGGCTGGAAGAGGTCATCTAGTCCCAACCCTTCTCCTTTCTGATACCAGCTCCCACCTGCCTCTTGTTGGCTCAGCCAAACATCGCCTCAGCCTTCCTCCTATCTAGTATCTCTACTCAATTTGATGGGGAAAACCTGCTTTCTTCCAGGGATGGTAACTCCATCACCTCCCTGGGCAGCCTGTGTCAATGCATCATCAGTTCTTCCTAGTATCTAACTTGAACCGCCCCAGCACAACTTGAGGCCATTCCCTCATCCTATCATAAGTTTTAAAACAATGAGGTACAGCAATTTTGAAGCCACACATTTTGAAATGTAGCAAATAAGAAAAGTGATTTTCAAAGCAATGAGAGGTCAAGCATCTGGACAGAAAGATCACCCACCTAAAGTCTGCCAGACTCATGCCCTGTGCTGGAACACGAAGCTGGGAGCTTTGTGACCAAGGCCAGTGGTGCAATAACGTGGCAACCCAAAGCAAGAGCAAGGTCTCACCATATTGATTCTTCTTTGGTCCCGCAAACAGGTCGGGGTGGCTCTTCGGATGGGGAGGCATTCTGGGGAGTGGGAACATCTTCGGCCCAGGGGGCATTTTGGGGCCGGGGTGCTGGGGCATCAGGCCAGGCTGATCGGTGGGGCTGTCATGGCAGCCTTCTCCCATGAAGCCTGGGCAGCACCTCCAGGCCAGTTCAGTCACTGTCTTGTAGCCAATCTTGTACCTGGGTCTGAAGAAGGTGCGGTACCTTTCCAGGAGAAGGGAGAGAAAGGGAAGGCATTTTAGAGAGGCAACCACAGTTCTGAGTAAGACAGAAGAGTGGGGCCATGGGTCCTGTTGTCTGCTGCCAGGAGATCCTGGCTGAGACCTGGAGAGCATAGCCCACCCACTCCCACTCACTGCATCAACACTCAGTGCAGCACAAGCAACACCTGCCCAAGAACACAGCTCAGGAACCAACACTGCAGAAGCATCACCCAGCCTTCCCAGCACTGGACCATGAGGTGTGATAGCCAGGTATCACTGTACTATGTGGAGAGGGTTTTGTTCTTTTTTTTTATTAATGAGGCATAGGTTGATTTTTATTTATTATCATTTCTTAAAACGTTGGATTCTTGATGCTAGCTTGGAAAAAACAGCAGCAAGTGTATTGCTCTGGTCTCCAGACAGATGCCCACTGTGACAGATGTTAAACAGTTGGGCAAATTTCAACACAGAGCAGCACAAGTAGGAATGATAGAAGTGACACCAAAGCCTTTGTGAGTTCATACTACTCCCCACATATGCATCCTACAGAGCTGGCAGCGAGGAACAGAGCAGTGTTTTCACCAGTCCATCAATGGGGCAGCCCCTGTCTGAGGGCTGCAACTGTCCCCACAACATCCCCAGTGTCCCTGCTCAGGCTGCAGCTTCTGCAGCAGGAGCCACGTAGAGAAGTGGAGCAGGAGAAAGGAAACCCAAATCCCCCATTATTCAAATCATTTTAACATTTCCCAGCATCAGTTGCTCAAAGATACAGGACAGTTTCAGACATCTTTGGAAAATAAGCTCTTCTTTTCACTGTTCCTCTTCCTGTAAGCTGCCAAGTTGTGGTCCTTTCTTCCTTTTACCCACAGGTTCCAGGGCCAGCAGTAGAGCAGGATGCTGCTGTGACAGCCACCACCGGTGACATGAAGCAAGGACACCAGCAGGCAGGCTACTTCCCCATGCCTGGCTCCTAGCGCAGCCCCTTCCAGCCCTGCTTTCCTGGTGCTCCTACTCCCAGCAGGGAGGACATGGGAGCATAGCATTCCCACAGCACAGCATCCCTGCCCAGAGCTGACCACAAAGCCCACAAGCTGCCCTGCTCCAGAACAGCATTTAGGAGGTAGCAGAGACTTCTGCAAATATTATCACACAGCAGCAGCCCTCAGCCTGCTCTGCTTCCCCCACCCCCCCAAGGAAGGGCAGCCCTCCAGCCCCTTTGTGTCCCCATACTCACAGCACTTTCCCTGGGCACTTGGGGCCCCAGCTGCACTTGTGGTACTCAGCTTTGACGTAGCTCTCAGCACCATCCTGCAGCACACAGGTGACATTGCGCTGCACCACATAGGCACAATAGCTCCTGGGGGGGAAAGCACAGCAATGCAGTGTCACCTCCTGCCCCAGGGGCACAGCATGACAGCCCCCAGTCACGCAGAGCTGTGCTCAACAAGAGAAGCTATGGGGACAAGGAGAACACCCTCAGAAATGGGTCAACTGGGAATCATCAGCCCTAAAGAAATCTCTTCAGGTTCCTCGGAGCAGCAGTGCAAGGAGCAGAGCCTTTTCCCTTCTGCCACCATGACCACAGCTGAGTGCCACTGGGTAACACCAGCTCCGGAGCAAGGAAGAGACAGCTGGAAGGAAGGATGCAGGAGTCCTACTGGACAGATGGAGGCCAAGGCTGCTCTGCTGGAGGCAGGCTGCCAGCCAGAGCAGATGGATGCAGTCCATGAGGGCAGACAGTGGGGACGTGTGGTGAGGCAGGGGCTGAGGGTAGGGACACAGCAGATGGCAGAGCGGGAGGAGAAGAGGTAGAGGCAGCAATGGAAGGTCAGCAGGACACAGCAGATGAGCCGAGTGAGTTGCTAGATCAGGGAGGTATTTGGCAAGGCAGGAGGACACAGTGCAACCTTGCAACCTCTTCTCCCCAACCCCTCTCCAAGGGCTCTCCACGCACATCTCCCGGGATAACCACAGCAATTCCCATCATTCTCAGCCCCAGTGAGAGGCTGCCAGGCCCCGGGCATGCACAGGGCTCAGCGCTGCAGATTACTGCTCCAGGGTGAGTCATTTATCCATGTGCAGGGCTACTTGAGAACTAAGGCCAGCAACTTTTCTTAGCTGGATGGAAGGGAGATCATGTGTGCATGTGGAAATTTAGAATCACTCTCATCCATAAATCCAGGATTTACTTTTAAACACCTCCAACCTCCTCTTTAATTAAGCTAGTAGCCAACACAGGCAGATCTGCTAGCCACTGCTGATGAACCGTGCATACTTGTGGCTGCTTGAGTCAGGATGGCTCTGGCTCACCCCCCTTTGCAGAAACCCCTTTCTTTCTCACCCACCTGTGGCTAGCAGCTTTATAGCTGCAGCTTGATGTTTTAAGGGTGAGCAGCTGGAAAATGTTACAGGGTTTGGAAAGCTCTCACTGGCACTGCCAGTATTGTTCATTTCGAATGCTACTTTATTCATTTCAGCTTGTTTGTAACACCAAATTCCCCCTCCCCCCCCTCCTTTTCGGAGGGGCCAAATACAAGACTGCTCTATCAAACAAGCACAGAGAGCCCCCCACCAGGACATAACACCCTTTTTGCTAGGGAATGGAAAAGCATATCAAACATGCAAAGCCTACATTCCTCTCTCGCCTGAGCTTTCCAGGTTACTTAACAGCACATCTCAGCCCGAGTAAGTCTCACACACAGAGATACACAGCTCCGTCCGTACCCCCTCCCCGCCCGATCCCACAGCTCTCACGTCCCTATGGGACCCGCACGTACATTCTGGTCCCTTTCGGGACACAACCGCCTCCCCACAGCCCAGCACAGCCAGTGCCCATCCCGCGATGCCCCGCGCACAGGGTCGCTTACTTGTGCTTGCCCACGGGTTTGCCGAGCTGCGGGCTGGAGCCGGTCGTGTAGAGGTTGTACCTGCCGCCGTAGGGCAGGGGGGCGGCGGGTGGGTAGAAAGTACCTTTAGCATCGGCGAGGACCAGCAGCGTCCCCAGGGAGAAGCAGGCGAGCAGAGCTCCGCGGCGCAGCTCCCGCCGCATGGTCCCGAGCCCGGCGGAACGCGGGGCGGAACGGGGACGAGGCGGCCGCAGGCTCCGCTGCGGAGGGGCCGGAGCTGAGCTGAGCTCCGCCCTGCCCTGCCCTGCCCTGCCCTGCCCTGCCCTGCCCTGCCCTGCCCTGCCCTGCCCTGCCCTGCCCGCCGGCACACGCTGCTCCGCCGCCCGCCCGACCCCTTTTGTAGGGCGGCGGCAGGGGCGGGCCGCGCTCCTCCCCCAGCCCTCCCCCGGCCCCCGACCCCCGGCCCCGCGGGCGGGGAGACAAAGCCGAGCCCCCCGCCCCCAGGAGCCCCGCGCCGCCGGGCGGATGGAGCCGCGCGTCCCTGCGGGTGGGATGGGACTCCGAGCCCCCGCGGCCCCGCAGCTGCCCCTTCTGCCCCCCCTTCTGCCCCCACCGCCCCGCTGCCGTCTGCGGGCGTTTGCCCCCGCGGGCAGCAGGTGCAGCAGCGCGGAGCCGGGCAGGGTGCGGAGATGCGGGGAGCCGTCCCCGGCTCTGGGGGAGGCTACGGGAACCCCTTGGCCCGAGGGCAGCCTTTGCTGTCCCGATCGCACCAGCATCCAGTTCGCTCAGGGCCGGTGAAACCAGCACGTGGGTTTTTCAGAAAGAGAAGGAGAGTTTCAGAGCCGGCATTGTCCCCCCCGTGAAGATTCACCTTTGGTTCCAGCCTCCCCGTTTGTTTCACCAGGTACCCAGATGTGCAGCCCAGGGATGTGACTGCATGGCAGGGCTGCACTGGGACCCTTTGCCTGCAGAACCGCAGCTTCTCTCGGTGTTTTATGAAAGCCGGCCCTGCTCTTCTACCCCTCCTGAGATCCCCATTATCCCACACCACATCCCTCACACACAGGTACCCCACAGCAGCAGATCCCTGCAGTGCCCTGACACCACACCATTAACCACGGGCTGTGGGAGCCAGAGCTTCCTTGACCTCAGGGTGAGCCTTTGTCATCGGGTTGGGGGGGACTGAGAGAAGAAACCCGTTGTCCCATGTGGCTGGAATACGCAGGATGGACAATCTATGCAGTGCTCTGTAATAACAAACACAAGCCTACTGAGCCTGCATGGCTCCATGCTGGATGCCAAAGCCGAGAAGTAACCTTGCATACAGCCTTAATTTTTTTTCCCTGTGTGCAGGGAGCATGATCCAGTTTTAATAACAGCGTGCTGCACGTGTGTGTCTGAGGCCTCAGGACAAAACATCTGCTGCCACTTCACAGTTCCTGCAGCCCCTGGCCCTGCTGCTAGAGCCTGAGCTGGGCATGGCAGGGCAGCCAGGAGGCTGCTCGGTTCTCAGCAGCATGCTCCCATGGAAGGTGTGAGTCACCATGCCTGTAGGCGCCTATCGGTCTGTCCGTCCCCGCTGTCCGACCCCATTTCTGAAATGTTGGGTCACTTGCTGCCAGATCTCACAGCAAGGTCCTCGGAAGGAATAAATTCCCTTATGTTGTTCCATTCTCTATTTGTTTTGTGGAAAAAAAAAAAAAAAAAAAAAAAAAGCATCTGTGTAGACCTGAGAGAGTCAAGCTTTGGTCCCAACTGAGGAAATAGATTCAGCCTCCAACTCACTCTATTATAAGACATCAAAGAATCCACACAGGAGAGAGGCTGTACAGATACCAGGGGATGTGCAGTGGGGCCTGGCACTGGGAACTGTGCCCATTGGTGCCACTGTGAGCATCCCTGCACGCAGAGGTGTCCATCACTGCATCCAGAGGTGCCCAGCAATAGGAGCTCAGGAGCACATGTCCCATGGGCAGTGGCTGCCCACTCTGCCCCAGGGCAGGCAGGGTGGCAGGGCCAATTTCACAAGCGGATGACACCGAACAGTGACTCATTCTGCTTCATGTGGTTTTTAATTAACGCTTGCATGGCCCCATCAGCCAAATAATTGCCTCCCTTCATGGATCAGCAAGTCAACAGCTCCGACCCCCATTCCCACCTGGGTACAATGTTTGGTGGCTGCACCTCACACTCCCCTGCAGACCCACGTTGAGGTTGAAGGGTTCCAGGCTTCTCCAGGGCTACTGCAGCACTGCTCCCATCCCCATCCTTTGGCTCCGTCCATCCTCATCCTCAGCCGCCATGGTGTGGTGAAGTGCAATGGTGGAACACAGCTGCCCCCTGTGCTGCCAAAGGGACAGGAGCATGTTCTCAGCAAGAGGAATTTGAGTCAGGTGTTAATAAAAGAGATATTCTAGTAGTAAAATTAATATAGCCCTGGAAGAGACTATATTGAGCCATCTGGAGATATTAAAGGAAAGGTTAGATAAAAAAAAAGTCTGTCCGGATCAGTTTGGAGTAGGGAAGTGGACTGGATGTCTTCCCAAGAGCTCTCCCAGGCTGAGTTTTTCAGAGTACAAATTCATTTCCCAAAGTGGCAAGGCCAGAGAGCAGCCCAATTCAGAGGTCGAGCAGGGTGTGATTCCCAGGGATCAAAACTCTCTTTGCACTGGTGCTGGCCAAGGCCTTTTCCCCTGGCTGTGGGTCTGTGTCTGTGGGAGGGACAGACTTCTGAACCCAGCTTTCCCAGAGGCACACCCAGCAGGATCCAGGGTGGCACTGCAGCCATCCTGCAGCACTGTCCCCAGCCACAGGGTCTGGGAGCTCCCGCTGCTCCCAGTACACACTTCTGCCACACCGCAGCTCCCAGTGCATGGGCTGAGGATGGGGATGGAGCAGGCATGAGCCACAGCTCCTGTGGGTCGGTTTGGAGGGGTCTCATGGACACCGGGGCTGGGCTGGTGCTCACTGCAGGAGCCTCTCCGTGGGGTGGGGGCAGCGGGGGCTGCAGAGGACGGTGTGCTCTGAGAACAAGAGCCCTTTCTTCGTGGGAAAGTGCAGGGCCACGAAGCGCTCGGACGGCCTTATCTCTGGTTTTGAAAGCCACACGCTGATCATTTGTCAAGATTAGCGCGTGCGGTAGAAGGGATGGAGCTGTTCCAAATCCATGCTCAAATCTCTTCCCCGGGCTCGCGGCCATTCATAAAAATGCCAGAGCAGCGTCGGCAGCACACGCTGGGGCTGGGGAGGGGTCAGCCATGGGTTACAGAGCTCTGCTGGGGGCACACAGGTTGCCCTGTTGGTGTCCTTCCTCCAGCAGGGCTGGCTGCACGGACTTAGCAAGGGCGAGTGGCAGGCGGGAGTCCCATGGGTGGGACAGAGGTGATGGGTCTAGGAAAGATTTTCCCAGCCTCTTCCATCCCAACACATTATCCTGAGGTCTGGAGCAACTGAGGAGCTCTGACTTTGGGAAATTGCATGGCTATGGGGCTGTAGGGTGTGCTTAGGAAGGCTCTGCCAAGCAGCTCTGCCGTATCCTAAATGAGGTCTGCAGCAGAAGGCAGCCTTGTGAGCTAGCCAAATAATTCCATCCTTTCCACGCTGCTGCAGGGTTTCAGAGGACTTCAGGTGTCCCTTTCCATCTCTCCCGCACAACGCTTTTGCCTAAAGACTGTAACCAGTGTGAGAAACATTTAATTAGAAGTGGCAGGAGTGGCAGCCTGGTGTTTTGGTTTGAGGAAATGCTGCAAACCAATGAATCTGATCGCTTCTCCAGGGCTTGGCTGGGTCCTGTGCCGAGAGCGGATGTGCTCTGCAGAACTGTGCCTCCGGTTCTTGGAAAGGTCCATGTTCCTCCTTGGCAGCGTGCTCAGCTGGGCCATCTCCTGCCTTTCCTTTAGCTGATGGCAGCAGCCCAGGGACTTTGCCATAAAGCCCTGCTCAATGACCTCACTGCTGCACATGGCGGAAGAAAAATACCACTGGAGAGGAAAGAAAATACTTTTCCTTTGAGACTGGGGAATAATGATGGACACTAGTATGAACTGACCTTTTGGTGTCATTTAGAAGCCAGTGCCAAGGCACAGCAGAGCTAATTATGACCTTCAAGCTCTCTCTATGACCATCCTGCAGAGCCCAGGGGTTCTCCAGCATCCACAGGAGCTGGAGCTGAAAGGCAGTTTGGGTGGGTGCGCTGAGCCCAGGGTGTGATGGTCCCAGCACTGCCCCCAGCACTGCCCCATCCTCTGAGCTGACCCAGCATCACGCTTGCTGCGTGTGCAGCGAGAGCAGCCATCAATAACAGGCAGTGCTTTCTGCACGCGCGAAGGAGCGGGGAAGAGCGTAACCGATACCTGCTGGGCTGCCTCCAGCCCTGCTCGGCACTGGGACCGTGCAGCCGAGCCTTGGCCGCTCCGCTTCCCTTTGCGAGCAGCTGTTCTTGCAGCCCTGCGTCTGCCCTTGGCCTTCCTCACTGTTTTGCTGCTCTTATTCTCACGCGCTCGCCAAAGTCCCACTGACCCACCACCAAAAAAACAAAAGAGGAGGAGAACTCGATATCTGCTGCAAGTGAAATTGCTTGGGTTCGGGCTTGGAGGGCTTCCCGAACTCTCAAGGAATTTCCTGATCTCAGGAATCTGCCAAACATTGGGATCTGCCTCAATGGGCTGCGGATATTTTCAGAGCACACGCTGCGGTGCTGTGTTTTGGGGCAGTGCTCTATCGGAGCGGGTCGGGAAGGGCAGAAGGAAAGCCCCTCTGCCCATGGGAACATGAGGGTGTATTCCATGTCCTCGTGCCTTTATTTTGGGATGAAGGAGAGGTTTGGTTCTGAAATCCCACATGGCTTCCTGGTGCCCAGGCCGTGCTGCAGCCCTTGTGCCAACATGGAAACTTTGGTGTAGTTATAACACTGCGTGTTAGCGGTTCACATGCTGACCTGAAAGCAAAGGCACAGCCCCAGACTGACCAAAATCCTCTGCTTTCACCAAAAACAATGCTGTGATATTTGTAGCAGAAGCAGCGCTGCTTGCAGTGGGAGCTCGACACGTGTGTGTTTATTGCACAGATTTCGAGAGCAAACAAACTTCTGGGTGGGAAGAGCACAGCCCTTCCCCTTAGAACAAACTCAAATGAAATTCCTCAACTTTTCTTTTTTTTTTTTTTTTTCCTTCCCCAAATTAATGCTGGCTGGATTTCCACCAGGACCTTTTCAACTAGCTTTAATCTGTGAAATCAACACTGAGTCAGGAAATGCTGACGCTGGCTCAGCTGAG